TAGCCTTTTATGTGTATCAACATCTATTCAAAATGGTNTACCTTTTGTAAGATATGAAAGCCAATTTTTTGTTTATTTATATAAGACAAAAGCTATTTCTCAGAAATGTTTTTAATAATCATTGTCTAGCTTGAAAACTAGAATCGTGTAAAATATACATAGAAATGCTCGAAAAAACTCCTTATAATCCCTTTTTACAATAAAAACAATTTGACAAGTATACACATCAACCATATAAAATTCAGATCAAGGCTCATATGACAAACAAATAAAGGTAACGTGTTATTGTAGTTAAATTTCCACCTTGACATCTTTATAGCCTCCTTCCAATCCTACTAGATCAAAAACTAATCATGTTTTACACCATTAAAATCAGAATTGATAAAGCTATTTAATGATTCTTACAGACTCTGTTGATCAGGTGTTCTATGACGTCGAATAGACCATTCATTTAAATGTCATCGCCGTCCTTTCAATGGATGAAGTAAGTTGCGTTATGAACCTAGCTTTTAGTTTCTCAAAAATGAGTCGTGAATAATATTTATTGCTATATCATATGGCATTAAATTTCTAAATCATCCTTACCTAGCTTCGTTCCAAGAGTCGCCTTTGGGACATTTGTGCTCCACCATAACCTATTTGATCTCCCAGTTTAAATGTCCTGTAATAGCTAAAGACCAGCTACTTTGTTCTTGGAACCCTGGAAGAGGAACAACAGGAACTTTCTTTATGGTAATTTAAAGGGACATATTTGCCATGCCATTTTCAGTGGTTGATTTGGGTCTTGAATATATGTCAGTAGTCTTTAGAAATGTACGAAAATTGCATAATTCCTTCAAAAATATCTCAAACTTTGAATTTCACTTTCTTATTCTATATATCTCTTTTCTATATATGGTAGTACGAAACATCTGCCTCAATTCCAGACTGATATTTTGACAGTTATCAGCTGGAGTATTCAGAAAAACTAAACCCTGTTTTATGGGCGTTTTCCATTAAAAAAAATTACATTTAAATAGCAAAGGAGATATCAGATTCGCTAAAAAAAAATTATGAAAGTTGCAGACGTGACAAAAGGAGTAGGGGGATCATGATGAAATATCTAAATATCAGAGATGTGGAAAATCCCCATAAAACAAGGCCAAGCTTTTCTGTCTCTACACAAGAAGACAACTTTAAAAAGGCTGGAATAGAGGGAGGTGTTTCGGTCTATACACAATTCGGGGGTATAGAACATAAATGTGATATGTCCAAAATTTCAAATTTCATTTTTTTTACCAATGTGCGCTATTTTCAACACTCTATCTTGGTGCACAACTCTTATATCTCTAACCTGCTTTGTTTGAGTAGAAAAGTACATTTTTCATATGTGCCATGTCCACCAAAACAGGATCACTTGGTGCTCAAAAGTGATATGTCCGGACATGTGATATTTGCTATCCAGCTGTACTGTATTGTTTGGAGCACAATTGTGACATGTCCAGATTATGTACTTTTATGATTGTATATTTTTTACAACTATGTTTCTTGTGCACTTGTTTACATGGTCAATATCGATTGCAATAACTGTTAACCCTGTTGACCAGTTCAAGGTCACATTCAGACCATGTGCTTGTTTGTAAACTACAAAAATTTAATTTCGACTTAAATGCCAAGTTAAACCAAGTCATTTAAGGTAATTACTTTTATTATTGATACAAGTTGTGTGTATCAATGTTGAGATAAATTGAACTTGCTATTTAGTTCTGTGTATTGTCAGACAAAAGTAATTTAAGGATTTCTGAGTTCTTTCCCCATAGTAGGTAGCCTACTGTAATTCCTACGTATTCACAATTATGGCACGTCAACCCTGCTGTAACCATTTGGATTTTACAAACCCTGATTAAGTCTTTCAACTAGATGTACACACATTTGAAGAAAAGGGGAGGGAGGGGTTAAAGTTCTGAATGATTATTAAGGCTAACTAATGACTGCAAATTATTTATTGGATGCTTTCATTTAAGACCGGGCATGGCCACACTTTTCCTTTTCTTGGACCTGTAAACTGTCTAATCTAAGACACAAAACTATAATAAAAACTCAAAACTATTCGATTTTCAGGGGATCATGGAACTTAATCGATTTAAAAGGACATTAGATGTCGAGGCAGTTGTAGCCTGCATAAGTAAATCATTAGTAGAAGATTCACCTGATGATGATGGGGTTATAGAACTTGAAGGAAACGACGGTAGCAGTGCAATCCAATCTATTGTTAAGAGGTGTGAAGAAATTCAGTCAAGTCAAGAGCAGGGTGATGCCGATAGTAATACCAATAGTGATGAATCTGACGTGGAGCCTGATGATCCAGATTATCAACCTGAAGGCGATTCAATGAGTTATTCAGATGACAATGACATTGACGAACCAACAAGAAACGCTTATGAATCAGCTTCAGCCGAAGACAAGGAAATGCTTCGTGAGAATTGGGAGCAGCATAAAAAACGAGAAGCAGAAGCAGATGCCGAGAAGACAAAAGACAAAATTCGAGCGAAGACCGATGACCAATACCATGCCGTTACATTCGATCTTGAAGCTGTCTTAACCACACCACATGCTGGTGATGCCCAAATTTATTATAAACAAAAACTTGCGGTATACAACTTCACTATCTATGATGCTGCTACAGCATGGTCAGTGCTACCTTTGGATGAAACTGAGGGTGGTAGAGGGGCGAACGAGATAGCGACAAATGTGCTTCATTACCTCAGAAATTTACCAACTTCCGTCCATCACTTTTCAAGCTTTTCAGACACTTGTGGAGGCCAAAATAGAAATCAATTCATGGCTGGTGCTATGCTATACGCCGTCCAATCATTGACAAATCTGGAAACTATAGATCTGAAGTACATGGAATCTGGGCACAGTTGCTTAGAAGTAGATTCCATGCATGCCACAATTGATGTTTCTCGCAAACACCAGAAAGTTTACACGACGCGCGAATGGGAAATTCTCATAAAGGGGGCGAGAAAAAGGCCTGGCCCGTATGACGTCAAAATCATGCATCACAAGGATTTCCTGAATATCAAGGAAGTAACAGGGATGATTATTTAAAACAGAACAAAGAACACCGATGGTGATGTGGTGAAATGGCTCAACATCAAATGGCTGAGGTTTGAAAAGGCTGTTCCATACATCATTCAATACAAATATGAAATCACCAGTCCGGAGTCATTGTGCAGGCAGATCGTGGCAGACGGAGATCCATTCAAAGTGTACCTATCGCATCTCTTTATACTACACGCCTTCCAATTACTAAGGAAAAAAAGATGATCTTCTTAGCCTTCTCCGCAATAGAGTAATCCCACCTGAGTATAGGACCTACTATGAAAGTTTACCTTCATCAAAACGTGGCACTGTTGTTGAAGAAGAAGAAGATTCATAATACATGTGAACAAACAAAATAAAATATTGAATAATTCCAATGTTGTTCTTCATATTAATTTCAGTTGATAGTTCGACTATGTCATTATGTGTGCTAATAATCCTGGAGCGCAATAGCAATATGTCCATTTATTGCTGCTATGCAATATTGCAACTTTGTTGAATTATAGTGGATTCAGAGGCTACAATTACCACGCATGATATCACTGCAAAATTTTTGGATTGAATTGTTTACCTGATATAATATGTTATTTACAATGTTTAAAACGTCGTTTTCTCAAAACTACTAAAATGAACAAATAACAATTGTGCTCCAAACCCTCGTATGTTAGTCTCAAGAAAAGATCGTACACATGGATTTTGAGCTGTGGACACTATTACTAAATAGCTCAGCTAAAAAATTCCTTTTCTGTGACAGGGATACGATTGGTCAAACAGATGACAAATCTGTCCCCAAACAACCAAATTTCAAAGGTGATGATAAAACATTTTCAACAAAGTTTGTCAATAATTGTGCCCTCTAGAGTGTTGACAAGCTAAAAATTTAATACATTTTCAAGAACAAGGGCAATAACTCATATTTACTTCAATAGTGATCATGCGAGGGAAAAACACCAAGTATTCTCAAAATCCATCAGGAGTTGTGCCTTCTAGAGTGTTTAACTGAACGCATTTTCAAGAACAAACGGGTAATAACTCATAAATATTTTTTTTATTTGATTGTTTTTCAACAGGGTTTTCTCTCAGGGAACATTAAACATTTTCACAAAGTTTGCCTTCTAGAGTGTTGACGGACTGATAGACATTTGTGGCGCCAATATGGAATGTATCAAAATGTGTACTGACCGTGCTACTTTGATCATCTAACTGTATGTGGTGTATATCAAACCCAATAGTAAAAACCGCTATCGAGTTCCCGCTGACGGCTGAAATATAAATAAGTGATAATAGACTTTTTAATTCAATTAAAGCAGGTGTCAATAGGCAAAGTTCGTGTCATCCATGTATGTGACGTCACTAAACATCCGACCAACAGCGAGAAAATGGGCTTAAAAAGGGCCCTTTCTGAGAAATGTGTGAAGGAAAAATTCATCTGAAAGTATCATTATCTGAGCCTTCCGACTCCAATTTAATGATGTTAAATATGATTAGTTGTGTGCTTGTGGTAATAAAGAAGGAGGCTTTAAAGATGTCAAAGTGGCCATTTCACTTCAGTGACACGCTGTTACCGATGTTTGCGTTATGAGCCTTGTTTTGGAGTCAGTATGGCGTGAATAAGGTCTATAATTCTAGATTGAACAAGTGTTTAAGAGTTTGACATAATTGGACCCTTGATACAGAACTCAGTGACAATAAATCAGGATTTATCAAGTCACATATCATTGAACTCTGATACAGTTAATCAGTGGCAATAAATCTGGATTTATCAAGTTATACATCATTGAATCTTTAGATACTGCAGTTAGTGGCAATTAATCTGGATTTATCAAGTCAGGTATCATTGAACCTCTGATACAGTTAATCAATTTACACATAAACAAGGTTTTATCCGTTTTTAAATTTCCTCAACATTGGATAAACACTAGTCTCTATGATATTGATGGTTCATCCAATTATCATTAAATCTGTACTTGTGCAAGTTCTTGCCAATTTAACTATCGTTAAGAAATCGTTTTAACAAACTAGGTAATTTTCGGCAATAACGTTTTGTTTTCTGGTTAATTACTCAAGATTAAAAAAAAACAAGAATTAAAAACCACATTTGCAACATAAACTACGGTAATTGTAAATGTGTGTCGAAGCAGATTAGTTTGGATCAGATCCCTGAGAATTGTCTGAAAAAATAAACAGATACCCAATAACCCATTGAAGCAGACATAAGATTATAATACTAAAAGGCATCCAAACTGCAGCCAGACCGAATGGAGCCACACTCTCGAACAGATCAAAGGATAACAACCTGTTTTTGTCAGGTATTGAATTTATTGGTATTGAAAAAAAAAGTTCTGTCAAAAATGCTCAATTTCAACTTTATATAACAAAAGTTTTGCCAAAAATACATTCAAATACAAATCAGCGAAAACATATCCAGCTCAACATAGCTTCAAATGAAACTTGTCAAACACAAAGCCCAACCAACAAATGTCCAAATACAAAATATATTTGGTGTTATAATGCTTTCAAAAAGAATAATGAAATTTATAAGTTTTTTAGTTAAAACTTTCAGATACGTTAAAAGACACAGTTCTATAGAGTTTGGTGTATAGTTTTCACAAATTTTTGACCTTCATAAAAAGCAGACTATCCCTTTAAACGCAAGCAGATTTTGACATCCTATTTTTTTAACGGAATTTGATAACTACTCTTGATAACCTTCGCTGTTCCATACGAGTACAATGTAGACTATCAATATCAGGAAGTAAAAATCCAGTTTGACTCTTTCAACAATACTCAATAATATGTAATAAAAACGGAACTTAAATATCTGTCCTAGTTTAAGATATCTGGATGTTATTCACACTAGGTTTGAAGATCACGGAAACTCTTTTCCATTTCAAATTAGAAACTATTTAGTATCATTTGTTAGAAAGTAAACGACGTCAAGATTCCAAAATTCAATCTTTTGTACCTGGATATTGTCAAGATCAACTTACCAACAATGGGTAGAGGCATCGCCCCAGTCTTCATCTGTTCCTCTTCATCTGTTCCTCTTCATCTGTTCTTCATCTGTTCCTCTTCATCTGTTCTTCATCTGTGGGCGCGCGCCGCTTCATCTGTTCTTCATCTGTGAATAGGAGTTTCTGATAAGTCATACAGGCCATGACCTCAGAATACTCCTATTGTGGCAGTGTTATTTTGGGTAGGTAAATTACCAGACGATTTACCCTTTCTAACCTGAAATGGAATTAAACCAAAATAGCAACGAACCTTCACATTACAGACCTGTTAATAAAAAAAAAACAATCAAGGAGCAGTCGCCAACACAGCAGCAAAAGTCAAGTTTTAACAAAATACTTTCAAAACTATAGACTTTATAGCGTTCACATGCCTATTTATCCCATTTTTTGTACTTATTATTCTAGAATGTTCAAAATCACAAATCACATTATTTCAACAAAATGAGAAAAGGAAAAGATAAGTTTGTTTTATGCATGTTTGTAAAAAAAGATAGCTTGCCAGGCAAGGTAATAATACGCCCACTGGCAGCTTTGATTTTAAATAAAAATATTTGTCAGTACAGTAACAATTACCAGTATGAAATATTCAACCTTCGGACATACAATTCTTTTGAACTATTTGAGGCGATACTGAATAATATTACAAAGTTTCATCAAAATCTGCCAAGAATTAAGTCTTCTGGAGTGCTTAAGAGCTAAAAAATGAACGCGTTTTCAAGAACAAGGGCAATAACTCATACTAAATGTTTTTCAATTTTTCTGATTTTCGATATGTTTTATCCTTGGGTGATTTCAAATACTCTAATACACAAAGTTTCGTCAAAATCCGTCAAGAATTGTGCCTTCTGGAGTGTTGACAAGCTAAAATTGAGCGCGTTTTCAAGAAAAAGGGCAATGACTCATACTAAATAGTGTTCATCCTCGGGTGATTACAAACGACCATACCAGATTTAGAGTGTTTACGAGCAATTGTGGACGGACGGACATGGGTGACGACAATATACGCCCCCCATTTCATGTTCATGAAATATTCAACCTTCAGACATACACTTCTTTTGAACTTTGTGAGGCGATACTGAATAAGATTATCAAAATCTGTCAAGAATTTGGCCTTCTAAACTGTTTACAGGCTAAAAATTGAAAGCGTTTTCAAGAACAAGGGAAATAACTCATACTAAATGTTTTTCAATTTTTCTGATTTTCGATAGGGTTTATCCTTAGGTGATTACAAACACTCGTTAAAATCCGTCAAGAATTGTGCCTTCTAGAGTGTTTACAAGCTAAAATTGAACGCGGATTTTGACGAAACTTGGCATGAGTGTTATTGAAAATCAGAGAAATAAAAAAAATAATTAGTATGAGTTATTGCCCTTGCTATTGAAACGCGTTTTCAAGAACACGAGCAATAACTCCACCAAGAATTGTGCCTTCTAGAGTGTTTACGAGCTAAATATTGAACACGTTTTCAAGAACAAGGTCAAAAACTTATATTAAATATTTTTCGATTCTTCTGGTTTTCAATAGGTGATTACGATTTTGTCAAAATCCGTCAAGAATTGGGTCTTGTAGAGTGTTTACGAACAATTGTGGACGGACGGATATGGGTGACGGCAATATACGCCCCTCTTTTCATGTGGGCGTATAAAAATGGCTCATTTGAAAAATGAGTATGTGTCATTTAAATATATACGTTCTATAAAATACGTTAGAAAGAAGTTTTATGAATTGTGTTTAACGAATAATAAACAGTTTCTAATTTCCATTTCAAAATATATAATCAATCATTTTTATACAGAAAAACTCAAACTTGGTGTCATGTTATATTAATTTTAGAAATTTTGTAGATAGATTTCATATTAAACAATTATCATATTGTTTATCAATTCATTTATGTTAGATGAAAGTGGTTTAAAATTAAGTTGCATATTATCATATTTGCTTTTCCATTTAAGATTGTCAAATGTTTATATTCATTTGTGGGATTAGTCAAAC